GTAGAACAAGAAAGAGGAAAGGAGGGAGGGAAGGAGGAAGGAAGGAAAGAGAGAAGGAAGGAAGGGTAGGATAGTGAGAAAGAGGAGGGCCTGAGAAAAGAGCCCAAGGGGCTGCATTGAGCCTCTGGCTCTGGGTTTGCCCATACCTGTTATATATGAATAGGAATAGCAAAAATATGGTAACTGCATCCACAGGTTTTTATTTAATTGCATGTTCTTTCATATTAATCCACTTCTTCCTTTTACCCAAGAGATATACTTACTAAAACTAACAAGGAAAATGAATTCAGTGAGCATATAATTAATATTTGAAACAGATGACTGCATGGAGATATAGACTCTGCCGCCAGATTATGTGGGTCAGATAACATTTGCAACAAAGTTGATATCATCTTCTCTGTCCAGGATGTGAGAATTTGCTTGTAACATGAGTGCTCCGGGAAATAAAAAAGGAATAAAACATGCAGGTTGACATTTACTGCAAACTAATGGTACAAAAGAGGAACATACATGTTGTTGGGCACATTTAGAGACAATGCAACCCTTCCTGAGAAGCAGCCGAAGCTTTAAAATATAGAAGTGCAACAGACCCATGGTATTCGCTCAGGTTTGGTGTCAGACTCCCCGTGGATACCAAAATCCATGATGTTCCATTATATACAATGGTGTAGCGAAATGGTGTCCTTTATATAAAATGGCAAAATCAAGGTTTGCTTTTTTGGAATTGTGCTTTTGATATAGTTTCATGCTTTGGATGGTGGAATCCATAGATGCAGAATCTGTGGATATGGAGCGCTGACTGCAATTGTCTGAGATATTGTATTCTGACTACCTGCAGCTGATATGATTTTTATGACAATTTGATGTCTATTATGGGAAAAAGATTAGAAAACATAGTCTAAACAGAAAAACCATATCTTATATTTGAGTTGAAAATGTATTGGGGTCCAGAAATCCTGACACAGAGTCTCTCCCTCTCTCTAGTTTCCCTGCAAAGATTTAAAAGCAGTACAACAGAGAAAAGGAATTACAGGTGGTGTGTACACCATTTTTTTCTGTCTTTCTATATTACCTTTAGTAAAATGCAAGATTTTCTGGTATTTCAGAAATCTGCAAAACTTGTTTAACCAGAAATTGATAGTGGGACCAAAGAAATGAATGTATACACCCCACAGCCCTTCCAGTTCTCTTGAAAGCAATATTCTGTCTTCAGGGGTTGAAGACACTTTCAAATTTTTGTACTTGTTTACAGGGGGGAAACAGTGTAAAAGAGTTCATGAGTTTCTGAGAAAGTTTTCCCGTTTGCTGTAGGACTCCTAATAGAGTTTTTATGACACTGAGAATAGTAGGGAGGCTCCAACTGAGAATTCAACATCGAGAGAAGATGCCCCTCACAGTGTCATTTCCAGAAGGTACATCCTTCTCTTTACTTAATAGGTAAAGGTTTTCCCCTGACATTAAGACCAGTCATGTCTGACTCTGGGGGTTGGTGCTCACCTCCATTTCTAAGCTGAAGAGCCGGCGTTATCCGTAGATGCCTCCAAGGTCATGTGGCCTGCATGACTGTATGGAGCACCATTACCTTCCCACTGGAGCAGTACCTATTGATCTACTCACATTTGCAGGTTTTCGAACTGCTAGGTTGGCAGAAGCTAGGGCTAACAGTGGGAGCTCACCCCACTCCCCGGATTTGAACCAGCAACCTTTCGGTCAGCAAATTCAGCAGCTCAGTGATTTAACCCACTGTGCCTCTGGGGGCTCCTTTGTACCCAATAAATAAATAGAATTTTACTCGGTGAACTGTCTATCTCCCAAGATTTCTCAGGAGTTTGACAGAGATACCTACCCAACAATGGTTGTATCCAGCAAATGATGTGAAGGAGACCACTGGTGACATGAGATGGGGGCTTAGGAGATAGAAGCACAAAGGTGTGGGTACTCACCAGGTAGGAAACAACAGAGAAACCTTCACATTTATGGGTTTAACTCTTGCAACTTTGATTATTCACTAATTTGATTAATGTAGTTTGTCTAAAACTACATTAATCCTCCACTGCAGAGTTATGGTCAGCTTCTGCCTGAAGTTGTCAGTAGGCTTTCACTGGCTGAACTAGATTCCTATGGAGGTATTTGCTCATTTTTGGTGATTTTCCCACTTTCTCTGTGGCCCGGCACCCCTAACCTCAGCGAATATGAGAGCAGACTGTACATATCATAAGATACAGAGGTGAAATTAAAACATGTATGTCATTGTGGTAATGGGCTGAGATTTGGGAGCCTCAGGTTCATCCTCATTGACCTTTGGGCAGCCATTGGCCTACCAGCATGCCCTACTTTTTAGGAGAGATAAACACAAGAGGGGGACAGCCATTTATGCTACCTTAAACTCATTGGAGGAAAGGCAGCATGTAATAAATACCTTTGAAAAGCCCAGAAGCAACATATTAGAATAGTGTTCCATGTTAGTTCGTTGTGGGAGTTGAATAAAAGGGAAATACGTCTTTATTTTTAAGGAAGAGGGAAATAGGACCTTGTGGGATGTTCTCTTTCATATATCAAAATAAATTTGCTGACTTCATGTATATTGTGTAACTTGCTTTGTGTTCAGAAAGGGGCAGAAAAATGTCTCGAAACCAACAAGGTTTCCCTTCCCTTCCATTTTTTTTTCTGTCTCACTGATACTATTTTTGTTTATTGTCATCAGTGAAATAACATTGGGCGACAATGACCTGTTTCTGGGTATATTTGACTTGCAGATTCCAAAAATGGCACCAGTTTTCTCCTGTCAGCTCTAGATTTTGAGACACAGAACGTATGGCATCTAGCAACTGCTATTTGCTCACCCTTAGAAAACCAGGATAACCATATCTACAAAAATTGAGCTGATGTGGTCTATCTAAGACAGCGTTTCTCAACATGGGGGTCGGGACCCCTGGGAGGGGGGCTGCAAGTGAGTGTCAGAGGGGTCACCAAAAACCATCAGAAAACATAGTATTTTGTGTTGGTCATGGAACATCTGTATGAGAAGTTTGGCTCAATTCTATCGGTGGTGGAGTTCAGAATTCTCTTTGATTGTGGGTGAACTATAGATCCCAGCAATTACAACTCTCAAATGTCAAGGTCTTCCCCGCACCAAACTCTCCCAAACTTCACATTTGGGCAGATTAAGTATTCGTGCCAAGTTTGGTCCAGATCCATCATTGTTTGAGTCCACAGTGCTCTCTGGATGTAGGTGAACTACAACTCCAAAACTCAAGGTCAATGCCCACCAAACAGTTCCAGAATTTTCTGTTTGTCATGGGAGTTCTGTGTGCCAAGTTTGGCTCAGTTCCATCATTGGTGGAGTTCAGAATGCTTGTTGATTGTAGGTGAACTATAAATCCCAGCAACTACAACTCCCAAATGACAAAATCAATCCCCCTCCCCCAACTACACCAGTATTCAGATTTGGGCATATTGGGTATTTGTGCCAAATTTGGCCCAGTGAATGTAAATACATCCTGCATATCAGATATTTACATTATAATTCATAAAAGTAGCAAAACAACAGTTATGAAGTAGCATAAAAAATAATTTTAGGGTTGGGGGTCCCTACAACATGAGGAATTGTGTTAAGGGGTTATAGCATTAGGAAGGTTGAGAACCACTGATCTAGAGCAATTTTCTGAATCAGTGTTCCAAATAACCCCAGGCACAGGACTAAAAATCAAGACACCAAGGGAAAAAAAACCTTTGTGTTGGGTTGTGTAGTTTATCCTATTTCCAAATGTCAGAGTGGGTGTCTATGCTGCATTTTTAGCAAACAGGCCAACATAATACCACATTTGTCCTTTTTTTTGCACAAACAGCAGAGGACTACAATGATTAATGTCTGTGGTTCAAGTTAGAGTTTTGAGCTTGAAATTCAACTTCAAAAGGATTGGAATGATGTTCTTTGCCTCAGCAATGAAATACAGCTAGCTTCTTGAGACACTCCTTTTCCACCCTTGTTAAACAAAAGGACTCGAATGCATGTGTGGCAGCTGCAGGAACAACTCCTAATGAAAAGCAGGGCTTCTAGCAGAGTGTTCTTGTTATCGTTTTAAATCAGTCAAATTCTTCTGTG